TAACATTCATTATATTGTACGTAAAAATATATATACATTCAAAACCACAAAGCAAATTTCATATCTATACTATTGCCTGCATTGGTTTTATTGATTAGTTATCCGAATTCGATACGAACGCAAATGGATTATATGAAAAATGTGTGATAAAGGTTTAAAACTATTCGCTTCTAAATAAACGCCCAATACGAATTTCTATTTGGTAGCGGTATTAAAATATCTTATAACACTACCATTCGAAGGCAGACGGGAAGGTGTATGTTTCAAAGCACCAGAGTTCAAATAAGGGAAACAATTTCGCTCATTTCCATCTTCTAATGTAACCATACGATACAAAAAACAGAGCTTTGCTGCTTTGTTCGAGCGCGGAAGACCGTTTGCTTTATAAGTTCCGAAAAAGGAAGTCTCTTTTTTTCTGATTTTGTCCACTGGGCTTTTTTCTGTACATACATACACAACTGTTAAAATACGTATGCACCTGATTTTCGGTTTATCGACGATTTAAATGAAAGTAGATATGATAACGTAAATATTTTTGTGTATTACTAAGTCTTACTTACTTAAAATAATCGTATTTTCGTGTACGTATGTAAATATGCAACTATTTCACATATGGCTGATGATTCTATACGGATTTTTGAAATATCCGGATATTTGAATGATTAAAAAATCCGAATATGCGGATAATCCGAATATTCGGTTATCTGATTAAAAAAATCGGAAAATCCGGTTATTAACCGATATCCGCATAAAAAAATTGACGTATATTAACCGGATTTTCGGATAGCAAAATTAACGGATATTAATCGAATATCCGGATATCCGCATTTAATACGTATACACGAGTTTCCAAACGGTTATCCGGATATCGGAAACACGGATAGTGCCAGCCTTAAAATCACGATATACATATGTACATGCGCGTATTTTTTAAGAATTTTAATATAGAAAACTTAATTAAAAAAAAAAGACTTATTTTGGAATTTCGCTCATGTTTATGGTAGATATCGGGTTTTTATGTTAAAAATATAAAAAAGCCAGGTGTGGTGCTCATTTTTAAGAGCCAGTTTAAACTTAGATCACGTAATTGCCTTCATATTTATCCGCTGGCTAAATAGGAAGTGCTCCTTGAAATATGCAGCATATCACGTGGACTCCAGTGATCGGACTTCTACCACATTGTGGTAGATCTGCCGCTTTCTTGAGCATCTACCACACAAGGTCTGAAATCTACCACATATTTGCGTTTTTAGTAGTTTTATTTTTGCTCGACATAATTTTCTAAATTTTAAGAGCAAAAATTTTCCAACACTATACACTAACAGCAGGTAGAATGGGAGGATGAAATAAACTGTAAAATAGTAAATGTTTGTCAATATTCAATTTTTCGACAGGAAACGTGGTTTTATTGTGTTAAATTGCAAAATATATAATTTATAAAAAAAACGAGGAGCGAAAATGTTAAAAAACGGCGATTTTTGTGAAAGTATTAGCAAATTTCAGTGCATCTAAAGTTTCTGAAGCGTTGTTTACTTTAACTTGAGAATTGTCAAAATCGTGTACATCGTGATGTGATAAAAAGAAAAGCTGGCAGCACTGCGCAAGGTTGCAGAAATCTTTCAAAATATGCTCGAAAATTATCTTGATATGGAAGGAACTGCTTTACACTGTCAAGGAAAAAAATTGCCAAAACTCAACGCAATTTTTAGCAACTTCAATCGTGCACTTTATTATACTAAAATTATTATTTTTAGATTCTAATTAAAATGTTTGCAATTTAGGTGAAAGCTTGCAGAATTTTTTTAGTTTGGTCCAAAACCTTAGATTTATCACATTTTTTGAAATCTACCAAATTTTTGTTCCAGATTCGACCACACAAATTTTTTAGAGTCCGATCACTGGTGGGCTTATGTTACAGAGTACGTATACGCAGCGGAGTTTTTCGTTTCGTTGTTTATAGTCTTATTTTCAAGAAGTAAACGGTTGTACATATTTAAATACATATGTATGTAAATATATGTATCTCGAGCATACGCTGAATTTACTATATAGTTTCTTATCAAACACGCCTAACCTTGAAAACATGCTAAGTGAATATACATACATACCTAGTGCATTGTACTGAAATGCTGAATGGATTTCAAGGGCAAAATAGTGTTTTTGATAGATGCTAACTGTCAGCGTCTACTGAGTCATTACGTATTAACAAACATACGCCATTGTGCCTTGTCAATTAATTATAACAGTTTGTGAACTAGTTGATAGGCAATAGAAAAGCAGATAGATGGACTTCAAACAAAGATTAGAATGGAAAAATATAATATGTAATATTTTCCCAACTGCTTAATAAATGCGAGTTTTGCCATTTAGGAAATTAGGGGCATTACAATAAACAGTGCTCACCCGATTGGCAAATGAACATATGTACACAAATACATGCCTGCCTATTTGTCAATCGGGTGCCCACAAGGGTACATATGTACGACGATAATAGTAAGAAAGCAAGTACTTAAATTATATCCATTGTAGCTCAATAGCTTGTTGGTATTGATAACTTTTTATTTTCTTCATTGGATTTCAATGAAGATGACTCACAAAAGTGCGTGACTGCCTAGTCTAATTGGGTCTAATACTTATTATAGTCCACTACTGAATTGCTCGTGTTGTAGAAGTACCTTGGTGGGGATGACGTGCAGAAACTGGTACGAGTGTAATTTTCATATGTGCGTACATACATACATATTTCGTACGTAATTTGGTACAATTTAAACGAAATATGAAAACTAGATACATAGTACGTACAAGGTAGTACAAAATTAATCCCCCTTCTTCTTAATCACTGCTTTCTTTGTGGCTACGTGAAACCGCGGATTTATGCCAACAAGTCTCAGACAATCGCAGCCCTTAAGGAGAATATTCGACAGCAAAGCGAACAGTTATCACCGGAAATAATCTTGCGGAAAATCATGGAAAATGCGATAAAATGGGCACAAATGTGTATCAAAACTGGCGGCATCCACTTAACGGATATCTCCGCTTAATTGAAAAAAAAAATGTAAAGCTCGAAATAAAGATTTTCATCACTCAAAACCATTTTTTTAGTAAAAAAATATATATGTATGTACATTAGGGCAAGTCAATTTGTATGGTATATTTTTTTCGAATATACGCGTATAGCACAAAAGGATGTATTTCTGCGTCAAAAAGAAAATGAAAAAAAAAATTGTCGCTTACGTTATGTTAGCGGTTAGGGCTCCGTATATATCATGCAACTGTTATCCTTTAAGTGAATGGCCTCCGATGATTGAAAATTAGTTATTATGCAAAAATATGTTTTCCTTAAATATTTTATTTTTTTCAATAAGCTTAATTTTTGTAGCCTTATAAGTAGGTATGTATGTATATATGAAATATAAAATGGCTGCAGTTTTAAGTTGACGTTGGTTGGCAGTGTTTTGGTGATAAACAACAGCTAATAGCTCTTAAAAAACGAATCTAATCAGTAAAATATTTTACTTACTCATTTAAGATAATAGCGTTTTAAATGCTTTTATGTAAGTATGTAGCATTTAAGGACATACATACGTACCTACACCTACATACGAGGCATTCTTCGTCAACCAAAGCCCGCTTCTCTTCTATATTAAATGATGAATGGTTTTTTTTTAATTCTTTATGGCAGAAAAGTTTTTAAGAATTTATGGAATTCCCTCGTAACTTTTTACACAATCCAAAAAATTGAAAAGTAAATATTTTTACCGAATTTTCAATACCATGTCTGATTTTTTTCCTCAACCAATTTTGGATAGAGAAGAGAGTAAATGAATTAAGCAATGAAAAATTTTGAATTTTCAAAATTTCGTGTTCAACGGCTCAAAAACCCCCGAGTAACATAGTATTTTAAGCGAATTCAATAATTTTTCAAAATTTTGTCGGCCATATTAGTTTTCAAAAAACGACACTCATGATTTGCAAGTTGCGTTCCTTATCTCCCATAAATAGTTAGAAATAGTCCGAAGTAGTCAGATTTAGTCCAAAAAGCTTTTCTTAACTTGAAAATAACAGCAGAAATGAGAGAACAACTGACTCTCTTCAGTCCAAAGTTAAAAGATTTAGTCAGAAGAATTTTTGCTGGCAAAATCTTGAAAAGTCTCAAACCAACTAAATTTAAATTAACGGAAGTTAAAGAATAAACGAAAAGTGAGAATAATCTTAAAACTAAAAAAAAGTGAAATGGAAGGAGGCAAAAAATATTTGATATAGTACCCGTAAGTGTTTATTGTGCTTGTGCTTGTGTGAATTTGAATGTGTTTTGTACATACATTTCCATTTTTATTTGACATTAGTTTTGTTTTTGCCATTCTTTGGACTAAAAATTTGTTTTTTTTTGCGTTCCTTTACTTTTTCTTTTTATACTCTTTTAGTGAGCGCATTTTATGCTCTTGCATTTTGACACTTTTCTGATTTTAGTCAGAAGAGATAAGAATGGACCTAAAATTAAATCTTTTTACCGAATTTTCAACACAATAACTGATTTTTTTTTTACCCTGAACAAATTTTGGAGAGAGCGAGGCTTCAGTTGATAAAGAATGCCTCATATCTACTTTTGTACATGTGGTTGAGTGTATTGGTACATATACTGCATGCGTCGTAGATAAATACAATACAAACGTTTACTGTGTTTGTGCAATCTGTTATGTATAGTAGTAGTGAAATGTAGCTGATAATACTCGTACTCTAGAGGTGAACGCTTAGATCATCACTGGCTTTTGTGTTACAAAGATGATGGCATAGATTTAAAAATATATCGCGTTTGAAAGAAGAAGTTTTTGATAAGCGTTCATCGATCACAAACTTTGCGCACAGCGAACATGACTCCACTCAACGATAGCGGGCAACTCGCCCTCATATGTAGTTTTTGTTGTACTATAAAATAATGTACCAAAATAGCTGTTGCATAATTCTAATTTACACTTTTTCTCTCTTTTGTTTTTTCACAGAGGATGCACGCAAAACCGGTTCACGCGTACTGCTACACTGTCATGCGGGTATTTCGCGCAGCGCCACTATCGCTATCGCCTATGTCATGCGCTACAAATCACTTTCGCTCTTCGAGGCTTACAAGTTGGTCAAGGGGGCGCGACCCATCATTTCGCCCAATCTCAACTTCATGGGCCAGCTGCTGGAGCTGGAACAAAGCTTACGCACGAGTGGCGTTTTGAAGCCGGCCACACCTACGGCGGCCACCACACCCACCACCCCAACATCTAGTCAAGTCGAATTTAGCCAGAATGTAGATGTAGATGAGACCGATGCGTCGCTTTTACGCAAGCGGCCTACCGACGCCAAGCGCAAACTGTGCGCCGGCGATGATGATGCCAGTGATGACCTGTTCGAGGATGCGCGCAGCACACTGAGCAGCCATAGCAGCAGCAGCAGCAGCAGCAATAGTCAAGCGTTGCGGCTAACATGGCCACCGCCCACAGGCACGCCCGCAACTCTGCTATCGCATTGCACTTCGGTGGAGGCCTCCTGCTCATCTTCGGCCTCGTCGTCATCGCTCTCCGCCTCCTCATGCACCTCATCTTCAGCCTCGACGCCGACTTCACCATCGACTGCTTTATCTGCCGCACAATCACCCTTCCTCTGTTGCACTCCCACCGCTATGCCGAGGCGCCATTCGCCCGCCAAACTGCGACTCAACCTGCGGTCCACCTTCGCACCGATACGGCAATCGCAATCGTGCATGTCAATACGCGAAGTAGCTGATGAGAGCGCAGCCACTGCCACAGTTGTCAGTGAATCAACAAATACGGCGCTGGCGATAGCAGGAACGGCAGCGCCAGCGGTTGCCGCTTTGGCGCCCAACAACAACAACAGCAATTTGCCCTTGCCAATAGCGATGGATCAGGAGAATAATGTAGTAATGGCAATGTCGACCAGTGATTGAGGCGACTAGTAATAATTTTAAAAACAAAAACACTGAAGATTCACTAGTAGTAAAATGAAAGTTAAAAAAATAGAAAAATAAGATAAATAAAAAACTGAACAACGCAAACACTTTGAAAAAAGCTGTGAATAATTTTTAAGTGTACAATATAGCGAGCGTACCTACCTAAAGATTACATTTGTATTTGTAAATACATATGTACACTAGTATATATGTACATATACCGATCGAGCGAATAACCGATCGAAATGACACCATGCCTACTAAACTTAATACGTAAATACTGCGAGCACATGGAAAAATTTGTAAAAACCAAAAAACACCAGAAAATTTCTGACCGTTAGATATGTACACATACATATATGAAATATTTGTATAAAAATCGGCATATTTACAATTAGTAAACGTAGACGTTAAATGTCGCATTGCACCAACAAAAACGAAGCATATTATAAAATTAAAATCGACTACGTTTGAGAAAAACATTTTTTTTTAATATTTTACCTTTATACCCTTTGAGAAAAATTGAAAAAAACTAACGCATTGAGACTGCGTCAGTGAGAAATTATAATCATGCATTTGCCTACGCTTACGGCTAAAATTCATGTACATTCATAATATGAAGTTTATATTTGAAAGCTTATATTTATTTATTTTTTTTTTAATATTTTAAATTAATAAAATGTTTACTCGCAAAAAATTATGACCAAGCAGTTATTTATAATATTCAATTTAAGAGTGAGTTAGATAAACAAATTCGCATTCAAAGGCCCAAAATTTTTTTTGAAATTATTTTGGCATTCATGTGTTATTTTTAGCGTAATAAACATAAAATTCACGCAAAATGGTGCGAGTGCCATTTTACGAAAATCAGTACCCAGATTTTTTCTTTCGCGATAATTTTTTTTTTATCTTTATTTTTTTTATTTCCTTCTAAGTCACTGGGCTTACTTACTTAAAAAAGCCGTAGAAGAGCCGAGCCCAACATTCGTTTGCGGGCGTTGATTTTTTTAAAACAAATGAAAGAGAAATAAATAAAAGCATAATGTTGAGTGAATTAATTAATTCTTAGCGTAATTTATGAAGGCATAAAATTTAGTTAAGATGACCAATACTATAAAATATACATAGTTTAAAGCGTAAATTTTGTTGGAAATAAGAGTATGCAGACATATGTACATATGTAGGTACATACATAAAACTAACAGATTATTTAGTTAAAACATCCCTTGCTTAGCATAATTTGTACAAAATACAAAATAGCAACAACAACAAAAACGTACAAGAAATAAACTCTTATGTATGTAACACTATATTAAACAATGTAATATTTAGCGAGCGAATATTTATTTTAATGCCAAACTCTTACTTATAAAACTGTTTTAAGTTTTTCCCTCTGCACACACACACATACACACAATAGCCGTATTTTTCCCCCAAAATGTAGGCCTATGTTTGTACATACATAGATCAACCGAAAAAAGAGCTAACCAAACATCACAGCAAATTTGCTTACCCATACAAACACACATGCATATGTACATACATATAAATACAGTACATATTTACGTATTTTGAAATATAAAAAATTAAACTTATTGTATGTATGTATTTGTTTAACTATAAACACTTCTGTTCTTGTCACTATCACAGTTTAATTAAATTTAAGTAGCTAATTAAGCACATCTTACATATACTACATACAACTATATTGATACATATAAATACTATAAATTAATAATAATTTTAGTGCAAGCTGAAATGTACATATGTACAAATGTATATAATTTATTTATACACCCTATATTAAAACGGAGTGAAAAAAATTAAAAGAATTCGCATTTACTTATTTTTTCCTGCTGACCTTAAAGGCAAGTTTGAAACTTCATTACTTCATCAGCCCTGGAATTATAAAATATGGCAAAACCGACACTGCTTCGAGAAACTCAGCCCATAGTTCTTGCGTAATGAAAACTTCGACCATTGTCCCAATAAAAAAGGTCAAAAACACCATAAAATCGGAGGAGCTCAGGCCAATAAACAACCTTCCCAACTTAGAAAAAATACTGGAAACGGTTGTAAAAAATCAACTATTCAACTATATTGAGTCAAATAAAATACTCATTAAGGAGCAGTCAGGTTTTAGGGCTAATCACTCATGCGAAACAGCTCTAAACTTGATCTTATCACAATGGAAGGAGGGCCTAAATTCCAAGAAAACTATGTTGGCGGTGTTTGTGGACCTTAAAAGAGCCTTCGAGACGATCGACAGAGAAATAATGCTAAAAAAACTCGAATATATTGGTCTAGATAGCATCGAACTTACATGGTTCCGTAGTTTTCTTTCTGATAGGAAGCAACAAACGGTGATTGGCACAGCTCTATCCACAAACGTAGCAGTAGATATTGGTCTACCACAAGGGTCGGTGTTAGCTCCAATACTCTTTAATATTTATATCAACGACATAAACTCAGTATTGAAGTATTGTAAGGTAAAATTGTTCGCTGACGGTACCCTCATAACCCTCAGTGACAGTAATCTACCCAATGCAATGATTAAAATGCAAGAAGACCTTCATTGTTTGTATAAATTGTTGTGCGTAAACAGACTGCAATTAAATGTGGACAAGACAAAGTTTATGGTCATATCTAGAACAGCTAACGTTAGCTCCGATAATTGCAGTTTAAAAATTAAAGATGAAGTAATTGAGAAAATGAGAATCATTAAATATCTAGGTACAGTATATTTTGCTTTACTGCCTCTATGCTTAAGTGCACATTTAAGATACCTACCCCAAAATGCGCATCAGAGGCATTATTTTTAAAATTTATAAGGAAACTTCTCCGATAGATGCATTCAACATACCTGCACATTGGCGATACCTGCCTTAAAAATTGTGCGACTAGTATCAATTATCAATGAAAGTATTACGTTTACCTGCACTGGCCCTATTTTGCTCATCTCGCAGAACAACGAAAACGGCTATCAATTTATGTAGTTATATAGATAATTAGATAGCAATCGGTAAAAATTTCGCTTGCAGTAATTTCTACATGGTAAGTGCTCCGCCAATATTTGGTTTCATAGGGATTCGGATACCTTCCTCATTGAAGTAGTAAAGAAAATTCGCTTAAGTGCCTTTTTTGGTTACGTGCACAAGTTTTTCGTGCAAAGAAGGATGTGCAGCTAAGCAAAATATACTGTATATATATATCGATGAAAAGTTAAAATTTGAGGAAGATATTGACTACACAATAGCAAAAATTGGTAAAAAAAATTGGTCTCATGAAAAGATCATGTAAGTACTTAGGAAGGAGGTATAAGAATCTGGTCTACAGATTTATAGTTGAACCACATTTCATATACTGTCCAACAATCTTTTTTTATAGTAAGCGACACACAAATAGATAACCTTCAAAAAATGCAAAATAGGGCTATGCGATTTATCTTGAACAAGCGTGGCTGAGCATGAAACAGCAAATTTTCTATCACGCTATGAAATTCGTGTTTAACATAAAACAAGCTAGACTTCCAGATTATCTGAGTGATATCCTACGACATAATAGTGAAACCCATTCGTATTTACTCAGGGGAAATGATAGCTTCAGGATGCCGCTGTATAAAACGTAAATAGATAAGAAGAATATCCTTTTTAATGGATTAAAATGTTACAATGAACTTCCAGCTCAAATAAAAAATTGTGAAAACGTTGGTACCTTCAAAAGGTTGCTATTTGATGACTGTAGAACATTGACTATTAGATAGAAAGGTCCGGCATGGAAACTAGTCCCTTCCATACGTACTATCTGGATGACTCTGGATCTAGTCCATTCAGATCACCCATAATGTATGAAATACGAAGGTCGGCATGGAAACTAGTCCTTCCCGTCCGATCAAATAGCGCGACTCTGAATTTCGTCCATTCAGATCGCCTACCGGCAGAGAAGTTTATAAGAGGCAGCTTGGAAACTAGTCCTTTCCAACCGCCCAGTTGTGGCGGCTCTGGAAATTACACTTTTAGACCGCATATCGTACGTGATATATTTACGGTACTGCTTAGAATCACGTCCAGTCCAACAGCATCGAGAATATGTTATCTTAGTTAAATATACATAAACTTTTATATAGCTTAGAAGGAAAAGTGTAACAGGTGAACTTATTTTAAGCATTAATTTTAACTTTACTTTTATTATATATTGCAATACATAATTCAAATGTATATACGTGAATGTATATAGGTCAAATAACTGTAATAAATAAATAAATATAATTTCGTCCCAAGCCCCAAATGGCTTCTCTGATCGAAATCGTCCACGTTGCTGCGCCATTTAAAAGAACGAATCGTAACAGTCGTGAACGAGTAACTCGTCACGAAAAAACTCATATTTCGGATTATAACAGCCGTGAACGTACTGCTCCTCTCGTATACCCACGATGTAAAGAGACAGAGGTGGCGCATTCAGCAGTACCGCTAATTTGGTTTGGCGAATTTGACAGAATCAGCTGTTCGTGTGACCTCAGCATAGAATAGTCCGCGATAAGTTTGTTCTCGTATGAATAGTTAGTTACTAATAATTATTACTAGTATTTGTTAATGAACATTTTTAACTATAAAAAAAAATTCAGAAACAATTTGCCAAGAACTCGCGTTACTAGTTTCTACTGGCTTAGTGTTTCATTATTCATCTTTATTTCGCTATTTGTGGGCGTAATATTAAATTTTTCTTCGATCTTCAATTTTCTGTTCAAAAAGTAGATGAACACAACTACGATTTGTTTACAAATGGCGGCCGCCGCCTTTTTTGTCTCCTCCATCTCCTCTATTTATTACGAACGTGACGTCATCACCCGCGGGAATGCGCATTCTTGTATTCTATCATTCTTGTCGTATACCGAATTACGACATGGACCAACTAACAAGACCAGGCAATCGGAAAAGAATGAAAAAAGCATATTTCTGAGCGTTTTTAACAACTGCCTCAGAGCGCGGTTACCCACGAACGTGTACGTAGCGTACCGTAGAAGTACGTAGAAACATACCAAGTTTTCTGTTGATAGAAAGAGAGAAGCAACGTCTACGTCACGGTCATGCGGTGGTGAGGTTTTGTTAACACGCAGATCCCATAAGATAGATCGTGTCAGTTGACACGTTCTCTGTTTTCACGTCCGTTGGTAACTGCGCTTTAAAAATGAGAAAAAACAAGGAAAAGGAAAAAGGCACGGTGATTGAGTGCGATTATATTAGTATTTATTATAAAATATAATAAGTGAAACTTGATGACAATAAGACCTTTTTCAGGCCCATCAAGTCTTGATTTCAAGTCTGCTCGTTCGTAGGCGAAGAAGGTGAGAAGAATGTACTTTTCCCCTCTCTTCTCACCTCCTTCCCCTACGAACCGAGCAGACCTTACGTGTCTGGAAGGGGTATAAGCGAAAAGTGTTCATAAAATATGGTTTTCATGATTCAGAGTGTTTTACAATCGCATATTATCGGCACGGCATTTGAACCCACTTTTAACTTTTTTTGGCAGACCGAAAAAACGCACAAACTTTTTTCTGAAATTCGATTATAAATGCAACGATGGCTGATTGCGTAATGTGTAGTCTTTGATTCATGGAATTAGGAGACAAACAGTACGTTCACGACTGTTGTAATCCGAAATATGCATTTTTGCATGAGGACTTGCTCTTTCACGACTCACAATTCGAGCCCAGGCATGATCCGATCCATGTGTAGGGCCTTCTACACAACAATTTGACAACTAATACATATTCTCAATTGTCTTGTCTCAAACTGTCGAATGTAAACGCAGCGTTAACGGATTCTTAGGTATTTTAACTTTAATTTTTCTTCTTCTTACTATCCACAAATGTGGCATTAAAAGACAAGAATGATAGAATACATATTTAGTCTGTTCCAATAGCAGTCCGGTTTACAGGATTTAGTCAGAACTTACAGGAAGTCGTTCCTATTGACATAAAACCTGTAAGTGGGAACACTTTTGAGAGAGTAACTGAGCAACTGTTCCTAGTCAGAAGTTACAGGATTTAGTCCGGAGTTTTTTTTCCTGTAAGTTCATGAAAAGTGTCAAACGATCAGCTAATTTGCATGTGCAAGCTAAAACAAACAGCGGTGAAAGCAAAGTACCTTATATTTGTAAAAAAATGGAAGTAAACAACGAAATGTTTGAATATGTATAGATTTCAATAATTATTTAGTGATATTTCAGCTAAATCAGTGTTGTACAAATCACATGTAAACAAACCGACTGACGTTTTTACAGGAAATAGTGCTTTTTGCGTTCCCATGCACTTCTGCATCTGTTCTCGTTTTACTCTCATTTGAGAGCGTAAAATTGTAATTTGACAGTTCCACATGTTTTAGTCCGAAGTTCAAAGGAACAGACTAGCTCTGATCCAATACTTTTCGTGAAAAATCCTGTAAAACTGTCAAACAGCAAAATTACTCTCTGAAGTGAGAGTTAAAAGGGAGTAACAACAAAAAGTACGGGAACAAAAAAAACCATTTTTCCTGTAAAAACGTCAACCAGTGATTGCTTGACATTATCAGAAGAAAAAGTTCGGGTAAAATCCTGCAACTTCATTCTCTACACAACTCTCCAAAAGTCGCTCTCATTTACAGGATTTTGGAGGATTTCGGAGTATGGGAACATTTTTCCTGCAACTTCCTGCAAGTTCGTGTAAAATCCTGTAAGTTCATGGAGTACTGGATCAGAGCTACTAATTGTTTCGCTACACCGTGCTGGAGAATGAAACTCCTCTGAAGTAAACAAATTTATCAGTTGTCAAAAGTAAAGATGCCGGTGGCAAATATGATTTTCGTTGATTCGATGCATCGAAATGTACATCGATATTTTTCGATGCAGCAGTACGTCTCATCGGTGCATCGATTTGCACAGGATTTTTCAGTGAATGTTTCACAACAAAATAAGTTATTAGCATAAAGCGAAGCGCACATTGGCGCGATTCTTTCGTTGCGAATCCGCAAGCCCAAAAATTACAACAATGCTACCCATACATTTTAATGCGCTAGCGCACACTTGCACGATTCCGTCGCTGCGAATTTTTCGAACATTCAATGTTCCTCTTTATTGACGCGTTCGAAACGCGGCTTGCAGCGTTTTGAAGGCGTCAAAGAAGAAGAAGAAAGGTGTCACAGCAATAAAGGCAAAGAAAAAAAAAACGTGTAATGTACAAAAACTAATAAAAACGTTCGTAATAATAGTATTTTGTACGATTTGGGCACGCCGAGTGCGAAAATACACGAAATAAAGGGAAAATTGAGTGAATTGTACATCGGAAATCGACGCGAAAAAATCGCACAAGTGTGCGCACGTTTGCGGATTCGAAGTTAACAGCCGAATTCGCAACGATGGAATCGCGCTAATGTGCGCTTCGCTTAATTGTAGAAAATTTTAAATAAATTACTGCAGCTGAGCGAATTATGTTTCTAACTGCAGCCATTTCAATTATTTGATCAAAGTAATTTTTTTTTACAATTTAAAATGTAATAACGGTTCAATATACTAGAGATGTCAGTTTTCAAAAAACATCGATGCATCGATATTATACATCGAGTGTAAAATTTTCGATGTATCGAAGCAAAACATCGATATTTTCATTGCATCGATGTTTTTCCGGCATTCCTAGTCAAAAGTGCGCGCCAATTTTACTAGAGAAGACTCGCGAAAGTTATAACATTTTAATATATTGCATAAAATAATAAAATAAGCATTTCCTGCAATGGATTTTCGCCGCAAAACGCGACCACGTCTAGACCGTAAGCCTCAGTTTGAGAATCTCGAAGCACAATACCCGCACAATGTTGCACTATACCGTTTTCCGCCAACGGAAGACATCAAAATACATGACTTCGAGGATCTGGCGTTGGAACGCCTCAAAGTTCTACGAATTCTTGAACAGGCGACTTCTAAAAATCTACGTTTTCTATCAGATGAATGGAAGGAATCGGTGAACGCAGAGCTTAACCGCGAAGGTCTTAAGGGCTACTTGCGTCTTTGTACAAACAGTAGCGCTAATTCGACAGCGAATAGCACCAAGTATGAGTTGGAATTACAGGCAAGGCGACGTGATTACATTTCACATTTTATACTACGTTTGGCTTACTGTCGCACAGAGGAGTTAAAGCGGTGAGTTCAACTATATTCAATTTAACTTCACTTTTAATCATAACTTTATAGTTGGTTCCTGACGCGAGAAATGGAGCTGTTTAAATACAAATTTTCATCTATGAGCAGCACTGATATCAAACATTTTCTGGACCTAAATAAATTGGAGTATACGCCGCTTTCCGAATCGCAGAAAGACGCAGTAAAAGATGGTCTCTATGAGAGTACAGTTGGTCAGAGTGTTTCCAAGATTGAATTACTGGACTTTTATAAAGTACCATTTACACAAGTGTTAGATTTGGTGCGCACTCGGCGCTGTTATCTTAAGGATGGTTTTGCATATGTCAACACGCAAGACTTTGTCTCAATTATAGCGGTGCTGCAGCTTAACGAAATTGAACATGGATTGCAATCTGCACAAAAGCTTATTCGTGAAGTAGAGACAGATGAGCGCATATTTCACTTGCTTAAATCGCTACATACATCATACACAGGAAAAGATTATGCGCTTAGCAAAGAAGGAAATGTGCCGCCTGAATCACTAGATCAGCTTTCCAAAAAGTCATTCCCGATCTGCATGCGCACTTGCCATGAGCATTTACGAACCCATCACCATCTTAAGCATGGCGGTAGAATGCAGTATGGCCTTTTTCTAAAAGGTATTGGCGTAACGTTGGAAGATAGCCTGCGGTTCTTTCGTGAGGAATTTACTAAGAAAATCGATGCGGAACAATTCGCAAAGCGTTATGAATACAATATTTATCATAATTATGGCAAAAAGGGTTCAATGATCAGTTATGTGCCCTACTCTTGCCTTAAAATTATCCAAGAAAATCCAGTTCAAGATGATTGCCGTGGTTGTCCCTATAAATCAAGTGATCCAAGTCTGTTAAAAATGAAGCTCACATCTTACGGTTTATCTTCAGCACATGTTCAAGAGATTATGACGTATGCTACAAAGGGTCACTATCAGTTAGCATGTGGCAAATATTTCCAAATAATGCATGAATCCCCAGGGGATATGGCAATAAACCATCCGAATCAGTATTTCGAGGAAAGTCAAATTTTGATGGGAAATCGTACATCAAAGAAAGCAGCTAATGCTAGCATACGTAAGCCGATGAAGCGTGGTGCCAATGATACGACACAAGTAATGAACGCCGATGAAGATGACGAGCTGTGGAACATTGCGGAAACTCAAGAGAGCACTTTCCATAGCCAGCAAGCAGAAAGAAGTGCGTGGGATGAAGATCTTGATCTGACGGCAATCGACTGTTAGCGGAATAGATATAAATTTGAAAAAAAGAGGATTTTTATAAAACGTTCCCTTTGGACTTTGTGCGACGGTCTTCTAGTACTCAATCTTTAAATAACTTTTTGACTAGCCGTACAGAAGTTTCAGAGTCTTGGGCCAGTTTCTTAATGTCTGGCTAACACTTATCTCCGGTCAAATATCGTTATCGACGTTACTGAGTCCATGCTTACTGAGTCCATGTAAAGTTGGCAACGATATATGACTGTGAATTAGTGTTAACCAG